CCAGTTTTATTAAGTAAAGACTTGTGTCGTTAAAATTCCGTCGGAACGAAGTTACGGAAAAATCAATTAACAAACGGAGACGTATCAGTATCTTCCTGAGCGCATGCGTTAAGTCATTGGTCATTCCATCATCTAAAATAAGGAGGATATACCTTCCAGATGTCATATAATTGAAGTACTATAAAAAGTACATATCTAAAAAATCGGAATAATTCTGTAGCAAACTTTTCCTTGGAAAAACTTTGACCTCCAAAGGTAAACGACCCTTAACAATAAGTACACAGCTATATTTTTGGTCGATTGCTGGAAATTTTCTTTAAAAATCTGTAGTGCATACTGGAGGGATTTACACATTTTGATTTAAAAAAAAAAAAAGTTTAGAAAAAAATACTATCATTACGCTCCAGATACATATTTTTATTTTAGCCAACGTTTCACCTTCGCGGCTTCCTCATGTTTAATAATAAAATGGTAGACAAAACTAAGCCACGTTACAATTTACAGAACTAATCTATGATAAATGAAGGTGCTTGCTTGTATGTATTAAACCTTTTGAAAAACTTGGGTAAACGAGAAGTGTTCGTGTCTAAACTGGAAAAAAAGTAACGTGTTTCAGAATATCACAGTAATGAGAACGAATTCAATCTGATTTATTCAAGACTGTTCGAACAAGGAAATGTCTTAAACATGCATACATACCTACAAGGTTACCTCGTGCTTGGCAATCAGACTGTAGCTGTTTTTATAGTATGAATAAGTGAATCTCGAAAGATACCATAATCATCAGTGTAAAAGTGCTGGCTCGTAGTATTAACCCATATTCTAGAATGTTGTTAGTGATTGCTAACGCATTTTGGAAATATTTGTACCCATGTCACTAAAGTTTTAGCATAGGAAGTAAAAGCATACATAATCTTACGAATTAACAGTTATTTCAATTACCATTTTAACTGAAAAAAATTTAAAATATTATTCAACTATTTATTCAAGTATTAATCAAATGCTTAAAGTATAGGTGTCAAGCCAAGTGTATTCATCTCCACAGCTTCCAAACTTTAAATAGCATCGCCTCTAACTCGGCAAAGTTTCCATTGCGCCCCCCCCCCCTCATATTGAAATATTTTTTCGCAAATGATAACAGCAACATCAACATTTCCTCTACCAGTTCTTAATTTTTTTAAATAAAAAAAAATGCTTGTAAGGAGTGAGTAAATGGGAGAGCAAAAAATGCTTTGAGAACAAAGTGATAGTTTTGTTAAGTTATCGTCGTTTCTAACTCCACTATTTCTTCCGACGTTATTTTTGGGCTCTCCCAACAAAAGGCTGTGCTTCCCAGGGGGCGCGCCCAACAGTTTGGAAAACACTGCCTTAAATTATATGCGACATACCACAATGTAAACATGCTGAGAATCTCGTGTTGGTGTGTGTGGTGTTCCATGCTCTGTAAACAAGTGTCATGGGTGTATTTTTGTTCTCAAGAGTCTTGAACTTTTTTTATAACTACTTGCAGATAAACATTCTAGATGACATGTTACACCAACTAACAGTTCAGTAAACAGTTTAAATTGCGTCTAAGAAATTTAATGCTTTGTCCTTGAAGCTAACTCGTTAAAAAGCATTGAAGAATAGCTTGGTCCATGAAACCATGTTCAGAACCTTCCTTGACTTTGAATTTTGATCTCTCAACCTTTGTGATGGTGTCTGTAGCACTTCTTCCTTTTACAGTATTGCTTGTTGATTTAATGGCAAGCCAATCATTAACATGTAATAAGAATCGCAAATCATAATAATCCTCATGCTGATCCCATGGTCATTTACATTCTGCCCCCCCCCCCCCGCCCCATTCACTCAAATTTCACAAATGAGAAACTAGGAAAGCTTAAGCTTATGAATTAACTTTCCTAATCTAACAGGATTTGGGTGTGTAATTGCACCTGCTTCAATTTCTTTATGCTGCTATGTACAAAAATATGACTGCATACAAGAAGAAAAGGAGGCTTAGAGATTTGTGAGCTTCTGATTTGTTTTATTAGAGTGCTGAGAGGAAGGTCTTTAAAGTCTTGACTTTTCTCCTTTGTATATGGGGCCCCCAATTGCTATAATAGTATTAATATAAAGAATTGAACAATAAAACAAGCCTAATTCTTTAACATTCTAATAGTTTTTAGAAGATAAATTTAAAAAATAAATGCATACTTGTCAGTTTTACTTCTCATGGGAATTTATCAAAATAAGAGTAACATAACTGCTGTAGGCCCTGCTTACCAAAATTGTGTTTGATCTAATGTATTTTCTTAAACTGTAGGATTAATCTCTTGTTGCATTCTGTGCACATCACCAACAACTTCAATGTTAACTACACAGGTTCTCTGATATTAAAAAAGATTATACAACCATAACTATACAATAAAAAGGCTAAAGTGTACCAAATGTTAGCATTTTATGTCTTATAAAAAAAATTCTCATGGACATCCATAGAGATTTCATGAACTTTCTTTTATAAATAACTGATCTGCTCCCCAAAATCATAATTTTTGGCCAGATCCTCAAGTCATTTTGGTTTAGTTTTTAGCACAAGTTAAAAAAACAAAACAAAACTTATTTGAAACAGTTATTTGAAGTTAGATGTAGTATGGTAGGTACTAGTATCTGTTATTGTTAGCACACTAATTGAGCATGTATTTAATTTTCTAGTGAGATGAGGTTAAAATCTACAATTATTTGGCTTCATCTGGGTTTTAATGTGACTATTTTGCAAGCACCAGTGAGGCATGTCAGTTGTTCGTTAAATTTTGCTATTTGCTTAAAATGCTAATTGTTATGACTTTCATTGTTACTTAAATCTGCATATAAAAAATGTACAACACAGTACACAAGTGATGATACAAGTAAACAAAGTACTCTGTTTTCAATTGGAGAAATTAAAGTTGCATAACTTTCTGTAGTTGTCACCAGTCTTTAACTAAAATTACGGAGCTGCTTTCCCTCTAGTAGGTGGTTCAAAATTAGAGATAACAGCAGATAACCTTTGACTTATTATAAATGCGGGTAAGGCAAATGGTCAACGGCATCCACTACTAAGTATTGGGCTATTCTAATTGTGTACAGATTTTACATCCATTTGTAATGTCCCCATGACCCGTGAATAATGAGATTTTTCTTTTGTGGTAATGGGACATGAATAAGACCTTCAGATCCACTTTCCTATGAAGACTGAATATTTTTGTTTACTGACATAAAATATTCATTCATTAGGTAAGAAAGAAAAAGATGCTCTGTATTATGATTTTAAAGACTAGTCTTATTATACAGCTCTTGTATACCAGTCATTATCTGTGTAGTCATAAGTGACAAAAAGAATTGAGTTATTAGAACATTTCCCAGGTTGTGTTTTTGATGAAAATGAAAAGATGTTAAAGCATTAATCATCAGAAAATTTAGTGCTTATTTGAAAATTAGTAATGTGAAAACTGAAGAGTTAAAAGCAAATTCTAATACTTGGTATTAATGTACACAAGTAATGTAAAACTATACCTAGATGTTCAGATGTTTCTCAGCGTTATTTGTGAAATATATCCAAGTAGTGGTAACTAAACTTTCTCACAAATTGGAATCTGGACTTTTTTTTTTGTATGAAAGGTTAACCTAATGTCTATACCCAGCATCAGTGTTTTTTTATGGTTGATCTCCAAGTTATTTCTAACTTTTAATAGTGATAGTATGTAGGAAGAAACCAAGAAGCCTTCATCCTATTACAACTACATGCCGTGCCCTATAATCAGTTGGTTAATGCAATCCCTTCAAGGAAGTTAGCAGTCTTTCTTTTCCCCTGTTTCCTTTGTCTTTTGCACCCCATAATTTTTCCAGCTTCATCTGAGTCCCTTCTTTAACACCATCAATCCACATTATTCTCTGCCTTCCTGTTTCTCTTGCTGTTCACTTTATCAGAGGTGTTCTTCTGTAGGTGTAACAATTGCAATGCCTGATTATTTTCTAAAAAGAACTGCTAATACATCTAAATCATTGCCTTGTTCTTTATACAACAAACAATCTGTAAACTGTCAAGTATGATAGACAATAGCTATAGTTGAGTTGTGTTAATGGTTGGTACTACTACTGTATTACTAAGCCCCAGTTAATCTTAAATGTGAAGATTAAGTCTGCTCCATATGCATTTTAGGTATTGCATGGTGCATAATTTATTATTTGATCACTGAGTTATTCCTAAACTTTTTTTAATATTTTTCTTTGAAAATTGCATGAATTGGTGTTATTGATTGTGAACCTAGATAACATAATTGAGTTGATTAAACTACAGGATACTTTAAGTATATGCAAGTTAAATGTTTTTCTGTATATTTTGGAGTTTGTAAAATGTTTATCTTAAATTTTGTTTCACACATTAACTAAAATATTGTAAGTGGGATTCATAACTTAACGAGTTCATGTAAACAAAGTTTGATTATACCCTGAAGAAAGATCAGTTCTTAAATATTGAAGTAAACTGTTGACAGTGTCAATGGTTACTGTTATTTCCGTCATTTTTGTCATGCTTATTATTATATTTTTTATGCAGGATCCTGAAGATTCAAAATGTTCAGTGTTCAGATATTAGTCTGCCTGTGTTTCTTCGCATTTTTTGTTGCAGCTTCAGAGTAAGTTTATTCTCTTCATTTAAAAGTAATATTTACTTGTGCAAAAACAGGTTATGTTTTAGACTATTTTTTATAATTATTATTGCTTTTATTAAATTGAAGAGTTAGTTATCTTTCAAAATGTTGGGTCTTTATACATTTTATCCTCAAATAACACAGGCCTGCAAATTTAAACTTTATAAAAGTTTTGTTTTTAATAATAGATTTTCTATAATTTAGCTATGCAGATAAGGTTTTATTACAAATTGGGAAGAAGAAAAAAACTTGCTTATATCAAATTATTTTGTTTACCACAATTAGTATCTTTATTATTGTTTGTTAAAAAAAAAATACAAACTGAAAAAAAGGGAAGAACATTCATGTCAAACGAATATGCATCCTCATTCATGATTAATTTTTTTTTTTTTGTTGTTGTTGTTTGTGTGTGAAATCTGTCTCTAAGTCTCAAAACTATGTGTTGTGGTCTTTATTTAATATATTGTCTGGAGCAACTTATTTCAATGACCAGCATTAATCAGCCATCATGCTGATGTTCCACCTTCCCTATTAACCTCATCTACATTTCCCTGATGTCTTGATGAAACCTTTCCCCTTGTTCTTCACTGACGGCACTGAGATTTTTTATGGAAATAGTCAATATGTGAGTGTAAGAAATGAACTTTCAAGCTCTAATTACAACCCAATTCTTTGAATTTATCGAGCATGATATCGACAATATTTTTGTAATTTGGGTCCTTGTTGTTTTCTAAAAATTTGTTAATAACATCTTTCAAAGGCAATAAACGATTCTTTTTCAACTTTCCTTGTTGTCCTTTCGAACTGTTCATCCAAAGTTAATTTATATTCTGAGGCCCAACAAAAATCCCTTAAAGTTTTGCTGCTGAAAGAGCTGGGGATTGCCCATATAGATGCTTCAAACAGTAGCTATCTTTTTTCTAAGGCCTTTACAAACTTCTTCATCAAGCCCAGTTTATGTGAAGTGGAGGTAATAAGACTTTCTTTGTCAACCAGGCTTTCACATTCAATGTTTTTCAATCCTTGTATCAGGCTGACTTTGCCCGTTACTTCTTTATCTAGTGCTGATTTTATGCTCTGCTGTCCCATTCACATAAAACAACATGGAAGCTTTGTATAACCAGATTGTTGACCCAACAACATACAAAAGACTTAAGTTTCCACAAAGTAGCCAACCATATTCTTTGTATTTCTTCTTATTAATAAGAAGTTCAAAATTTTCATATATTTCCTTCAAGTGAACCAAATGAGCAATAGGAACAGATGCATATATTACCATTGTGAAGAACACCTTTTAGACTTCTTTTGGAGGAACCAATTAACAATTGCCACTCACTTGGTTCATAGACTGCAGGTCCTAGCATTGGTATTAATTCGGCAGTATTGTTGCAATAAACCATTGAATCTTCTTGCAAAAAGTATGGTATAAACTCTTTATCACAGTTTCTGTACCAGGAGAAAGTAAGTTCTTAGCCCAGAGTCTGGACCCCAAAATCTCTGAAGAATCCTCTGGAAGACCCAAATGTCTCACAAAATACAGAAATGACACATCATGTCATGTGGCCTGTAAATTGTTTATATACTAGTGGTGTTTCTTGTGGGTTCTAGAATGATTGATAAGAGATAAGACCTTCATGTCACAATTCGTCTAGAGAAATCTGTAGCCAGTGGTTGTCAACATTTTAAGCATAACAAAATGTGACCCGATTTCAATGGAAGTGATTCACTTATGTAAAAGTACATATGTCGTTTTGTGAAAATTCTGTAGGTGATGATGAAAAATGGATATCATTTTGGAGTGTACATGAATTACTGTAGAAC